ATCCAACAAAATTTTAACGTTTTTTTCTTTTAGTTGAAAAATATATTATGGCCATTGTGGTGTCGCTATCGTTTCATATGAAAATATTTAAAAACAATTGCACTGTGCTTAGGCACACCACTGTATGAAAATCGCGCAAAATATTCATGTATACTCAGGTGTTTCACACGATGCCTAATGTTACCTGGCGAAAAACACCTTTATACTATAAAAAAGGCTGTATAAAAAACAAAAACAAAACAAACACTTTGTACGACCATGCCAAAATTATCAAAAGTATTTTGAGAAATGTCTTATCTTCGTTTATAATGTTATAGATACATATTTGTTCTGATTCCTGACAAATATTCAACCTAAAACTTAATGACATTAATTTTTATAGTACTGAAGTGATTTGGTTTAATTATTTTGTATTATAAAAAGTTGATTTCACGCACAATAACTATGAAAATTAAAACACATACATTTCATAATACTTAACTCAATGAATTTAGACTTAGTTATATAGGGCCCACTCTATTCTTTTTAGTCGAAAATTAAAGATGCTTAACATTATTTAAAATTGTAGTTAGTTTTCGTTTTTTTTTCAAATGTAATTAGCATTTCAAATAAAATGTGCTAACTGTTCTCGTGGTGAAATTTTTGTTTACTTTTAAGTTTACTTTTTTTATATTTTTAGAAAAGCATGTTTTTAAAAAGTTTTTTTTTTAAATTTATTTTATTTTTTACTTTTTAGTCCTATTAAAGATACTTAATAATTTGTTCACCAATTGGTGAATAGATGACTGAATTAATTTTGGAACATTTGAATGTGCACGAAATTTTAGTGAAAGGGACCCCATAATATGACCCCTCCCCCCAGACATTTGTGACCTGGATATCCGAGTCCCGATATTATTAGATGATATTGTACTGTCATCCAAGATGAGTGTCTGTGCAAAATTTCAGTCCTCTACGAAATCGGAAAGTGGGTTATTCGTAGTTAAAGAAAAGCATGTAAAAAACACATGAAGTAAAATTGATAAAGCGTACCAACATTTCTTATACAGGCACGTTAAAAAACAAATATTACCGTTTAACCGGATCGGTAAAATTTTAAGGTAAATATCATTTTTTTTTTTTTTACATTAAATTATTTTTCATCGATAAAGGCATGAACGATTTCAAGGCAAAAATCGGCTAATAAGTCGTTCAGTTTGAATTTTTATGTGCAAAATAATATTAAGTATAAAAAGCCAGCACAGTGGGGTCGGGGCATAGCGGTACACTTTTTTATTTTATCAGCAACTGTTTTACAGGCGACGAGTAATCTTAAGTATACCAACAAAATAGTATTATCAACGAAGCATAATTCAATAAAACCCGTTTTGATATATATTGTAACATAAACAAAGCAGTATCGTTCCAACAAATTCAACCCTTCTCTTTTAGTATCGAGAAAAACATCCTGAAAATGTAATTATTGTATTTTGTTTTTGGGAATAGTCAAACTATTTACAAATTCGTATGTACCACTTTTAATATAGCTTGATGTGTTAAAAAATTCGAAGGTCATAACGAAATCAAAAGTTGGCGATATTCTCGAATAACACATCATATTTTAGGTGTCTTTCACACAGATGTCTCGCTATATTGTTTTGTAACCGTTGTAGTTATTATGTGAATTTTCATCCAACGAAATGAACTATTTTCTATTTCACATCGTTTTTTGGTGTATACAAGTGTTCCTCAATCTATATAGCGATTTAAAATGTAAGGAATGAAGTTAAAATTGTTACGAAAACTGCCGTACTTACAAATAATAAATGGACACGTTAATTATAAGTAGAAGATATCGACATGGTTAGCTTAAAAAGAAAAGCCGCCCACTGACGACACTCTGACAATTTCGTTTTGTTTTTAATTATGAGAGAAAAGGTCCCTGCATCACTTTTAATCGTTTAGGTGGATTGTTGGGCATCGAGGGTAACGTAAGGTCATTTACAAGAGGGTTTGGACGGTTTTCCAGAGAGTAATAATAATGACTGTAGTACTCCTTGGCAATTTAGGATATAGTTTTCATTTGTAGGTCTGTCTGCGTATACATACTTATCAACTAAAAATTATGACTTTATATACTTTTTTTTAAAAATAGTCGAATTAGTTCAAAATTGGTATGGAATATTCTTTAGACATTTAACTACTGACAAACTAAAGTTTTAATAATTGCTTTGACCCAACTTTACATAGAGTACACATAGAAAGCCTCCGTTTTCCAATACTGTATACCTAAAGGCATCCAGACCAAGCGAATAGTGATAGACATTTTTAAGAATACCATAGTAGTGAGCCATATAATATAATATCCTAATATTACCCATTAAATATATTTATCAAACCGCTTCGGATTTAACACATAGGCAAACGTTCCAGTCTATGGTATGGCTATCAATTTATTATTTAAAATGTATCTAATTGTATGACCTTGAGTTTCAATACTATGTTAAAAAAATTAAATATAGAAAAAGATTCAACACATTCCTTACACTGGAATTGCTGGAACTTGGCCTAATAGTTCAAATACGGTTATAATGCTTGAAATCGATAAAACAAGAACCAATAGAAAATAACAGGTTTTCTTTGAACATGGAAAATATTATAAACATATGGCTTTTGCTAATTTCTGCTTGTATATTTAATTGTATAAATGGCATGGCTAGGCCCCCCTTGGAATCTGTGACCGCCCTGAAAATACTTTGCACCCTGTCATCCTCCCGCAGCTGGTTTTTTTTAAATAAAGTTTTCAAACTTGTAACTAAATTTCGGTAAAAATATTTAAAACAGTGGCATTTGAGCTCAGGCACACCAATGTATGAAAATCGCGCAAAATACTCATGTATACTTAAGTGTTTCGCATGATGCCGAATGTTACCTGGCTAAAAACACCTAGCAGTGTTATTTGCTTTAAACCGAATACCTTGTACTCAATTTCTGATTCTTTTTTTTTTCAAAATGTTCAATAGTAATTAGTCGTATATTCCACTAATTATTATTTTTGGATTATTTTAAAAGTCGGCGGACATTCAACAAAATGTATAAACATTAATTTTATGTGGATTGAAAAAAAAAGGTAGTTTTAATTCCAATTTTCTTTGCGTTCCGTACAATATGGGTTGCAAAATAATAAAAATACAGTGTACGATGATGTTCTTTACATAGTTAACGTATACAAAGCCACTGTTTTCCAAAACTATACAAGTTGTACTTAAAGGCGTCAAGGCGAAGCGAATGGCGTTACGCATTTTTACGAATACCACAATAGTGAACCATATAATATTATATTATTATTGGTCTTTAGTTCCAAAACTTTATAAAAAAAAAAAATAAATAAAATATAGAATACATTCCACTCATCTATGGATTGGAGGGTTTATGAAATATATTTGTGTTTTGAAAATGTGTTAGTGGCCTCTATGAAAACCACTTTTATTCGTACGGCAGACGCGCAGAATTATTGTAATGGTTCGGAAATTATCCATTGTGTGGCATATGTGAAGGCCACTTGTAAAAATACCCTAGACGGGCAGAACTATTTTTTTCATTAAATCGTTATTTTAGAATACTATTACCATTCTACTACTTATTTATATCATTTTTGTTTATGGGACCATCAATGTCACTTTAAAATTAAGTCCTGTAGACGGTGGCTGAAATAGATGCCACCAAACTATAAAGGGCTATGAATTTTCCTCGACTTAGATTGACTATGTACTTATTTTATACCTACATGGTTTTAAAAGTGTCGATGTACCGTTAAATAAAATTCAATCGCAATCATTGAATGAAAATTACTCACTTAACTATACAGTTCAGAGAAAATGAGTGTCTAACGTTAAATAAACCAACCACATTTTCGGGATCTATAGATTTAAACCGTTTGTGCTCATAAATCTTCTTTGCGCTAGTAGTTACATTAATAAATAATATACTGTTAAAAACTACAGAATATAACGATTTCTATGATATATAATTTAATAATTTTAATTTACTAAACCATTTTATAATCGGCAATTAAAAATACAGTTTTTTTCTTAAATAGTTCTTTTTGTATTTTTCTTGAACGCAAAACTTGTGTAAAACAGAACAATCGTTTATCAATAGTCTACCACCTATGTAAAATGTTATAAATTACTGCACAAATAAATATTAACAATTTTTATTTATAAGAAATACAGCGTACCGCTCACGTTCAGAATTGACAAGATTGCACAGTTTACTTACTCATTAAGTACATAAATCCATAATTGTTCGATTGTAAGGAAATTGGTAAAATTAAATAAAACAATGGATAAAATCAAATCAATAAGACATAGTTATCATTTGATGATTTTGACTAACACCAAAAAAAAAAAACTATTCAGTGTCCGTTTAAACCGTACACATAAGCAACAAAATATGTGATTATAATAGTGAGTAAAACTGTTTATTGTGAAATATGTACCAATACGTATCAATCTAAATATTTAAGTGTATATTTAAAAAAATTATAAGACAATATAGTCATAGCTACAATATTCACGCTATAACATTTTACTATGAAGTAAATTTACTTACATTTTTTAATTAAGTTTGTAATTTCTTATTTCACTTGTAGAAAAAATGTGAAAAGTCAAAATTTGTCAGTCGAAAGAGGTTATGTTTAAATATTATACGATTTTTGTATAAACAATAAAATATATGGTTACAATGTGTATCAAAAAATTTTTGGAAAAAAAATGTTGTTCGAAATATTAATATTTCCGAGAAAATGAGTGTCTTATCATTAATGAATCACCATGTACACTGATTTACAAATTTGTGCAAATATGTAATTTTGTGTAAATAAAGCCACATTTAAAAAATTCAATAAATATCATATATCGTATACTTATGTGGGTACTCGAATAATTTCAGTTTTTTTTTTTTGATACTATATAAACAGCATTCAAAGACGGTAAAATTCATTAATTTCGTCTCGCAGTTTAACTTCAATTAATACTTTATAAAAAGTAACACAATGCTTTTAAAAATCTCTCTGTCGTTTCTTTTTTTTATTTTAACGGTTAGTTGTATGAATTCGGAGCGTAAGCGTAAAGCTACATGTCTACCAGAATTGAAAACTGTAGAACAACTGTATGATGATACGGTAATTTATACTATTATCTAAAAAATATTAAGTTTTTGTCAATATTTTTCTGAAACATTTATAATATAATAGAAAAGTTTTCCTAAAAAGAATGTCTTTTTAGGAACACTACTACAATTAAAATTCGTGTCATAAATACTTGTAATCGAAATAATTGTTTAACATTGATTGTTAAAAAATTGTTTTGATATTTTCATATTAAATTGAAGTTAGAAGTAACTCAATCATTCGAGTTAAATTTATTCAACATAATAAATGTTTAACCCAAAAAATGTATAATTTTTGCTATTTTGTAAATTACAAAATTATTAAGTTCTTACACTTAATTTAATAATTCATTACTGGTAGCTGTAAATCCGAATATAATAAATAATTAAGTTCTTGTTTTAAAAATAATGAAATGGTGTCTAGATTTTTGTATAGTTTTTTTTATTTGGTTACTAAAACATTTTGTTAGTTATAATAATACATGTTTTAACAGCTCAAGTATATTTAAGTTATTTAATAGCAATCAATAAAATAATGTTAATACTTGGAATGTCAGCTACTAAATTTTAATTATTTTCTAAATTTAACAAAAAAAAAAAAATTTTAAAAAGAAACTCCTTTTTATAGTCGACTAACTTTTTTTGGAATCCGAGTAATAAATATTTTATTGGAAAAAAAAAAATTCAAAAATGTATAATTTACATTAGTAGTAGTAAAAAGTGGGCATTCCCAGCCAACTTACAACCAACGGGCATTGTCTCATAGGTTAAAAGTGCGCTGTGAATGCCCATTGGTTCAATTTGTGCTCTAAATGCCCTTATTACTACTACTTACATCCCCCCCTCCCACAAATAAAAAATACATAAATTAAATGTATAGTTTTATTTAAATTAAATTAATAAAAATATATAATTTGTTTTAATTGTTTCGTAATTATCACACAGGTATTTAAGTCTATGCGTTTTTAAATCAGATTTTCCATGGAACTAAACTTTGTGTTGACTTTACAATTTCCAGATTACAGAAAATGCGTTCGCGAATTGTAAAAAATGGGCAGGAATAAAAGACGAAGAGACAGATGGATGTATTCCAATTTTTCTATACTACTTGTACATGGGTGACAACGTAAACGATTGGAATTTTATAGGATCGTACTTAGACCAATATAATCAAGGATATCTAAGACAAAATAGTAAAAATTATTTACACACTTTGCATATCATTTAATAAGATTTCTTTTATCTTCGATGCACAACTGTAGAGCAGTAATTGGTTTTAAAAATTATCTTCATTCAGAAATACCGTATAATATGTAAAATACTTATAAATGTGGTGTGACCCAAAAACATGCTCAAAAAAAGTATAATTAAAAACAAAATTGCCACTTCTCTGTCCGGACACAAATGTTAGACAAACAAAAACACGCCATTATAAAAAAAAATATATTTTCAGCTGCACATCGAAGCTAAAATAAATTATTTTATCGACATCTGCATTAGTAATAACATATATTATACATATTTAAATTGAACATATTTGTTTGTTTTAGATAACATAGATGCCCTAATATTTAGTGATCTGTTTAAAATGCATTGCCAAATTAAAGGTACACCAATTGATGGATTTGCCAACGATAGAAAAGCGGTAACAGATAGAAAGGAAGTAAATGGACAGGAAGTGTTTGAATACTTCCTTAATATCACCAGAAATAGAAACGCGACGGATCGAGACAATGATTTAATGTGGGAATAATATATTAAAATGTCTTATAATGTTATAATTTGTTTTTTTTTAAATCTCTTAAAGTGTTATTAAAAAAATATTTCAAAATACAATACGACATAACGACATTTTATAAATCCAAAATCGCTGTTTCTTTTTAAATAAACAATTATTAGTTACATTTTGTGCAGTATTGTTTTTATTTGTAAGAAAAACGAAAATTACTATAATTTTAGTAGTAATTTGTAAAGGCAAAAATTTGTACAAAATGCCATCAGGTATAGCATTGTTGAGTACATCATCTACATCATGCTTAATATAACCCATTACGATACCGTTCTTTTTTAAATTATCAACCAGCTAAAAGTTTGAATCCTCACACTCAGCCTAGCTCTGCCTCGAAATTTACGGAATATAAACTACTCATTTCCAAATCATGATCAAATAAATCAGCCCATTTGGATATAGTATAGGGGTAGAATATAGTTTATGATAGGGTTAGTTGTTACAATTTTAATGCCTCTTGAATTATTTTTTTATTAAATTAGTTAGATTGTAGTTAATGTTTGGTAAACATGTTTACTTACTTGAACTTCAACGCTTAAATAATTTTTTCTGCTTCTAGTAAGGGGTGGTCGTAGGTGTTCGATAAGCATCGAAATGTCGTTTTTAGAGAGTGTATACAGTTTTTTGAAATTAAAATCACTAAGCTCAAACGGGTTACGTTTATCTCTTAAAATAAATTTATGGAGAGTAAAAACCCTATTACGCACATGGAAGATCCATTTCATCCAACGACACGTTTCCTAAAAACGTCATAATTAACAATATAAACTAAAATTAAGTAAATGTGAATAAAATGAAGTGACTGTGAAATAACATATAAATTCAGTTCATACAACAGGTGCTCGACTTACGTTGATTTCTATAGCATTTTGTACCATGAGATGTGTGTTAGTTGTTGACACGCGAGAAATATTCAATTTCTGATTTATGGCAACTCCAGCGGGTCTAACATTTTTTAGCTTCGATGCAAAGCGAGAAGGTGTTGGTTTTACTCTGATGTGGGCTTTTTTTTTCGCTGTATACACTGTAACTTTTTTAATACTGGACCAATTCCTTCGAGTAGCAACTCTATAAATCGCAAATTTCATCTAGTTGGTACTTTGGGGGGGGGGGGGGTAAAAAGTTTTAAAAATTTACTTCTTCACAGTCGAAAGTTGAAAAAACAAAAAAAAAACCGTACGAGTTTTTAAGTTAGAACTTTTACCGGCTATAATTTCGAGAAAAACAGTCGGATCGAGTTGAAATGTATGAGAAATAATTATTTGGTATGCCCGCACACGTCAGTTGTGTCAAACTTAAACTATACCCGTTTCCCGACCCCCTAGGGGAAGTACAAGTTTTTTTGTTTTTCGGGGTTTTTAGCCGTAATTTTAAAACTTTTGGGTTGAAAATTTGCCAGTAGTTGGAACTCATATGTACCCATAACACATTAAACGGGAAAAAAATTCAGCACTCAGTTTTTTTTTAATTGCCGGGAAACTGTGTTTTCGCAGATTTCGTATATTTTAACATAAACACCTAAAATCTTTAAAAAAAATTGATCAAATCATTAAAACAATTTTATGTGTATCTATGCAGAATGATACTATTAAGTTTTGTGCTCAAGTACCACTTTTGACTTTAAGTTTACACAAATTCAATTTTTTTTTTTTTTTTAACTAAAAACCCGGTGTACCAGATGTGAGAAACGAACAGACTCTAAAAACTATCAGTTGGTAACGTCTATCCGTGTTAGGTTAGGTTAGGGCCCTTTGGTCGTTATCATAATATTGCGTTTTTTACATGATATCACAGACGACTAAATCGTGTACTGGTTTTTTTTACTTTGACTTAATTTTTAAGAAAAATATTAGTCAGTTTTTTCCAAATAAAAAAAAATTGAATTTAAAACCACAAAAAAAAATTAAAATCGGATTACAGAAAATAGCAAATAATGATTTCTATATTTATAAGAGCGTAGCTGCGGTCTAGAAAATAAATGCCTACATTTAATATAAAAAGCCAGTACAGTGGGGTCGGGGCATAGTGGGGACGGGGAGGTCACAGGTTTACAGGAATTTTTAAACATGAAAGTGATAAAATCACTTTCGAAAAAACGCTTCGATGCAAATCGGTAGTTAGTATTTTCAAGCCAGTACAGTCCAAACCAAGCACAGTATAACTAGCAAAGTAAGAAAGTTTTAAATTGAGGTTCTGTATTTACAAATGAGCATCAAAGCGTTTATTTGAAAGTGATTTTATCCGAGAGGACTAGTACAGTATAGGCATAATTTAATCAAAGCAATGAGGATACAGAGAGGTCACAGGTCTACAGGAATTATTATAAATAAAAGTGATAAAATTGAATAAAATCACTTTCAAATAAACGCTAATTTATAAATAATAGCGACGCGCCGTTTTTGGAAAACCGAAGAAACATAATAATTGTTAAGAGAAAATGTAGTATCTTAACAAAGTCATAGCTAATGACCAGATAAATGAAAATAAACAATTGAAACAAAAAGATATTTTTAAATTTGTTGACTACACGTGTATGTAATTAAAAACATATGTTGCCATGTAAAAACAAAAATCCCCCTTTTTGGCTTATAAGGATTGGTGATGACAATTTTTAAAATATTGAAAAATATAGTACAATGTGTAACTAAAACTTTTAGCTGGTTGATAATCAAAAGTAAAAAAAGCATTCGTAATGAGTTATGTTAACCATGTTTTAAATATTCTACTTAAAACTACTATACCTGTGGCAATTTTGTACAAATTTGTCCCTTTTTAAATTACTATACAAATTATAGGGATTTTTTTTACAAATAAAAATAATTTTGCACAAAATATAAGTAATATGTGTTTATTTAAAAAGAAACAGTGATTTTTTAATTATAAAAGTCGTTAAGACGTATTGTATTTTGAAAATTTTTTTTTTTAATGACATTTTAAGAAATTTTAAAAAATATTTAATACTATTAGACATATTAAAATATTATTCACCACCATGATATAGGTCTAGCTCAAAACGATATGTACAAGGATCGAATTCATCCTTTGTATTTTTTTTCCTATTATCCGTTACGGCTTTTCTCAGTAAAGCAAATGTTTCAACGGGAACTTGTTTTTTTTTACAATGCAGGTTAAAAAGATCGCGAAATTATTGTGAGTTTAAGTAAACTAAAACAAAACACCAAACAAAAAATTTGAATTTAATTATAAATATTATATGTTATCATTGGGGCATGATATTTTATGTTGCAGTTGTCGATGAAATAGTTTATTTTACCTTCGATGTGAAAACTAAAAATATGTTGTTTTTATAATGGTGTATTTTTATTTGTCTAAATTTGTATCCGGACCAAGAAATGGAAATTTATTTTCGAGCATATTTTTAGGTCTAACCCCATTTAATAGTATATTACATATTATATGTTATTTTTAAATGAAAATAATTGCTTAAAACAAATTACTGCGCTGCAGTTTCACATCGAAGATAAAAAAAAAAAGTTTTGTAACTTGTGTAAATAATACTTACAATAATCTTCTTTGTTATCTTTAAGATACTCCCCTAAGTACGGTTTTATAAAATCCCAATCACCCTTGTTGTCACCCATGTACGAGTAATAATCAAAAATTGAAATACATCCAAGTTTCTCTCCCAAGCCTACCCACTTTTTAGCATTCATGAACGCCTCGTGTATGATCTGAAAATTGTTAATCAACACAACGTTTAATTCCAAAAAAAAAAAAAATTGATTATAGGATTTAAATACGCGTAGACTTAAATCAATACGTGAGAATTAATATTGTTTTGATTACACATATTTATGACAAGAATTATATTGGTAAGTCTTTAAGCTAAATAAATAATAGTTTCCTAAATAAGAATGGCCAATTAAGGAACTTTTTTCTTCATATTAAAAATGATTCAGAAAAAAATATAGTAAAAAACCTAATAGTTTTAAAATGATAGTGGGTCAATCCATGCCAAATCACCTAATGTGTGTGCGATTGGATTTTTGAAATGCCTCAAACTTACATACACTATGCAAATAGTTCCATAAAACCAAAAAAGTATAGAAAAAAATTTGGAGTTAGGCGATGCTATATTCCGGAAATTTGTTGTGAAAACACCTGAAGTTCACGATCACGTTACTTAATGACTAATTATAATATCCTAATGGAATTTTCACTAAACAATTTAAATTTAAGTGTTTTTTTTTTAAATATACTTGAAAATTAATTTTTTTTAATTTTTCGAGTAATTAAGAATTGAAAAACAAATTCACAATTTTATGAATTTCAATCAATTTTTTTACTGACTTAAGGTCAAAATTTCAAAACTTTTTTCTTATTCTGATACACCGTACTATATTTGTTTGATTCATAACTTTGTTTTAGAATTTTTTTTTTGTTGTGATGTACAAGGAGCTTCAAAGTTTGGAATTTTACTAAAAAGTGATATACTTAAGACCCTATAACTTTTTATGACATAAACCAAAAACTCTGACATTTTTACAGCACTTACTTGTATGTATGTTAATAATTTAGTAAAAGTTTTGTACTGGAGACTTATTTTTACTTTAAGCTCTAAGATTTTGAATTTCTCATTACAGTATTACAATACGAAATTTGAGAAATTCAAAGTCCTACAGCTCATAGCAAAAGAAAGTCTCCATTACAATACTAAAACAAAATGTTCAACATACATATAAGTAAGTGTTGTAAGAATTTCAGAATTTTTGGTTCATGTTATATCAAGTTATAGGCTCTTAATTATATCTCTTTTAGTAAAATGCCAAACTTTAAAGTAACTTATAAATAAAAAAATTGTTAAAAAGAAGTTTTGAATCAAACAAGTATAGTATGATGTATCAAAATAAAAAAAAAGTTTTTAAATTTTGACCTTAAGTCAGTAAAAAAATTGAATGAAATAATAAAATTTTCAAATTTATTTTTCAATTATTTTACTTAATTATCATTTTACTCATTTGCGCTATAAGCACCGTAGTTTTTATTGCACTTACCTGTTTTACTTTTTTTAATAGGTTTTTTATTTTTTTTATTACATATTTTTATTTTTTTCAAGATAGCGCTTATAAAAATAAATCTACGCGGTTTACTC